ATTGATGATTATAAATCAAATTGGTTTAATAAAGAAATAAAAGATTATTTTATTAAACAAATTATTGAAAATATTTATACAACTGATTCATTTTCTGATGAAGGTATTCGAATGATATTTCTTAATGCATTAAAAGAAATAATAAAACAAGAAGATAAATTATTACGACAACCATTTAATGCTATGTGTAGAATATTAAATTTAAATTATATTTTTCATCAACTTGATAAAGAAATAATTCAAACACTTTTAAGAAAACGTTTTGCTCTTATGTGCATTGAAAATCAATGTTCGAAAACAAAACATGGTCCAGAACATTTAATTATTGTTAAACAACAATTATATGATATTCTTTTTGATACATTATGTGGTATTCCTCGTCAAAATTCATTCAAACAAATTGATATTAATAACAAACAGTTACAAGAATTTTTAAGCAAATCTTACGATACGGCTATGAATGCTATTGATAAACTTGCTGAAAATATAGGTACTAATCGTTTAACAATACTTCCTAAGGAGGTTGTATCATTTATTTTATATCTTTTAACAACTGTACTTATACATGATCGACCTATGAAATTATATACTGATTTTGCTTTAAAATATCGACCACTTCGTGACAATATGCAAATTGAATGGTCCAAATTTGAAAAGAAAGTAAATGAAGATGTATTTGGTCATTATCATACTATGTCTTTATCAGTTATACCTGGATATACAATTAATCTCGGACGATTTTCTTGTCCAAGTAAATTATTTTTCAATACTGAACCATTATGGAGACAAGATATTGAAAATAAACGCATCAATATAACAACATTGATGAATGAAATAAAAGTTAATCTTGACAATAAACTCAAAGAATATTATGGAAATGCTATACCAAATACGTCAAGTGCGCACTGCCTTTTACATAACACTGTTGCTACTGTTCTTGAAAATAAATACGCTAATGACGAATTAATGAATGAACAAATGATTATGGATTGTATGATTCATATTGGTCAAACTGCAGGAAGAAAAGGAAATATTTATGCTGATTACATTTTTCCATATGTTGTTTTAATAATTGAACATTATTTGAAATTTCGTAAAATAACAAAAAATATGACGAAACCTAATGATGAAGAGTTATCACGTTCATATCAATATAAAATTATAACAGAATTAGTTGCTAGTGGAATGGAATATGATGAAAGTACAAATGAAGTTTTATTTGAATCATCAAAACTAAAAATTCCACATATGATTACACTAGACAATAGTAAAATTGATTTCGATAACTTAAAAAAACGTGTGCAAGAACTTTATATTGTTTCAAGGAAAAGTTCAAATAATAATATGAGTCAAACATGTTTGAATATTGAAATACAAGATTTTATTGAATTTGGCTATAAAGTGAATGCTGATGATCTTTTACCAAAATGGACACAGTATGTATTTGATTTGTTGGTCTTTACTTTGACTATTTCAATACCATTAATACTATGGATCTACAAAATTGAACTATTTTAGTTACCTGCCGTATTTTTTTTTTAATAGTTTTTCACATAAACAGGCAAAGAAGCCTACATACATAGAATATGGACTGTTGAGAACGAGATATCTAGTAAGACTTTTATCACTACGTCTTTAGAATGACATTCCAAGAGAATCTTGATCAGTTTTAAAATATTAGTTTAATACTGCATATTCACATTATTAATAGTGTTCAAATATTCAAAATATAGATCTTGTTAGAAGTTCTATTTATGTTGATTATGTATATAGTTACAATCAATTAGAACGAATTCAGTGTTAAAGTTTTGGACATTAAAAACTAAACTAATTAGTATAGAAGTCAGATTTTCGAAATAATACCTACTAGTCATTTTTGGATAGCGAGATCGACCTAATTCTACAAAGACAGCCTGTAACACAAAATGCCATCATGATCAGCTCATCGAACTTTACAAAGCAGCAAAGAGTTTATTGAAAATAGAGACTTATACTTTGGAGATCTTCCCTTATTAGTGAGAAGCACAGTTGTTAGTAATTTGTTTATTCTCTCCTAGTTCATAGAATTGTAAATGAATAAACGTATCGTTAACAAGTTAGATACGATGACAGATAATTATATAATATTTCTTTCTATTTTCTCTTAATAACTGCAAATAATTCTTATCAAACAGTGATTTTCAATCGAAGAACTTGTGAAGATTACATAGATACTGCATTAGATAATAATTATTAGGATCAATATTGTTCTATGCATAAGTCGTTCCATATCATTATTATCTTGCTAATGATAGATCCTGATATTTAGTTATTTCTATTGGATTATATTATAATTTACATATATTTCATCCGTTCCTTATTTCTTGAGGAACTATCATAACTTTTAGAGGACTTAATCTTATTTTTAAAATATTTTTAGAGAACAACAGAATATTGTGTCATCAATAATAACTGATATTGATCAAATCGAACAACCAATAAAATATGTAGCTGGTTTAGATATAAGTTTTGTGAAAACAAATGATAAAGCTGTTGCATCTATGGTCATTTTTAATTATGAAACATTAAACATCGTTGCTAAAATCAGTGTTAATTGTAATATGAAAATTCCATATATAGCTAGTTATTTAGCATTTCGTGAAGCTCCAGTTTTTATGAAATTAATTGATATTCAAAAAGAACATTGTCCTCATTTAACACCACAAGTTATTTTAATGGATGGAAATGGTGTTTGGCATCCTCGTCGTGCTGGTATTGCTTCACATTTCTCTCGTGTAATACCATCAGCATAAAGAACATTTTTCGATACACCGAAACATGGAATTCCACTTAAAACACCAAAATGTGAAGCAATGCCAGCACGACGTGGATGCCAAACACCATTTCCATNGATAACGACAATAACAAAGACAGCAACAGCAGACATCGACACTTTCATTCACACACTCTACCACCACCCTCCAATCCAGACCACTCCCCACCCCCCCCCCCCCCAGAAATAGTCAGTTTTCATCAAAAACATGAGCACTTAGATAGGTGTGAGAGAAGATAGGCGAGAGTCTGCCGTTTCAAAGCAATAGCTTTTTATTTGATAGATTGTTTTTTAGAAAAAATTATTGACGTTTTCAGCCGCCGTCTACTTGAAAAATAAGCTGCTCTTTGGTAAAATCGAAAAATCTTTTTCGCTTTTTCTCGTTGCATGATTTGTTGAACGCTCAACCTAAGTTTCTCCACTTAAGCTAATAATACAACAAGACCCAAAACGAATCAAGCAGTCTTTGGTTGAGAATAACTCTTAATAGGAACAAGATAGAGCAATGCGGTTTTCGTCGTTCAAAAGAGGGAAAAGCTGCATCCAATCTTGAATTCCAGACTTTTATGACAATACTCACTCGTAGTCTCCAGGCATTTTTTGTAATGCAAATAATTGTGTGATGTGAAAGTTAGAACCTTAATTTTTGGTATTGCATCAGGATCGTTAACTAAAGTTCAATAGTCTATGTAGGCTTGATACCAAATAGATTTAGCAAATCATTAGTTCTTAACAGTTTACTACGTGTTCTCGGCAGATTCTTGACAAAAAGTCAACTTTTCCTGATTTTCTGACGAAAACTCCGTCTCCTAGATCTATTTAAAAAAGGTTTAAATTTTTTTAAAGAAACTTGTCCAGAAACTATGAGAAATCTTATAATAAAAATCTGGTATTCAACATTCGAGGTAGCTTTTTTTTCTTTTGAACGATTAAAATCGCAGTTCTTTATCTTGCTTCTGTCAGCAGTTATTCGCAATCAAAGACTGCTCGGCTACTTTTGAATCATCCTACATGCATTCAATGTTTTTTGTTTAAAACAGCATGTTCAAACATGCGGGACTAAAGAGTCCTTCTATTTAATTAAGCTTTTTTCTATTATATACACAATTACTTTTATAAATTGAGCTCCATTTTTCAGAGTTTTTGATTCATCAAACTTGCGGCTCCTTCTTTCTGTTTAAAAAATGAGAAATTCGAAAAACATGAGATTTTGGTGCCCTGCATCCTGATATGCTCTTTCAACCAAAAAAAAATATATATATAAAGAATCCGGGCTGAGAAATTTGGGATACCGAATCAGCTACTTTTAAATCTTGTTTGGTGAATATTTCTGTCAAAGATCATGATATAGAGCTGAGAATTTTGCCATAGCTTCCCCACTAAAGCCACAACATAATCTCCAAATATCATTTCATTAGAATCTTCCTGAACTGAGATTGATCTTTGAAAAGTGGAGAGACCTTAAACCTGAGTCATACGTGTTTAGTCTATTTTTAATGTCTCTGTTTATAAGATTTATATTTCAAATTCAAACACACAAATCAAGAGTAGAATTATGCATTTGCGTATATAATTTCCACACATTATCTGGATCTATATCGAGATCTTTATAGATGTATGCAGCAGCAAGAATATAAACAATTCTGAATAATTTCAATGAGCAAATCACTACTTTTAAAAATTACAATGGACAAATCTTAAAATGAAATGGGCAATTGCCCATTTGCCACACTCTTGGCTACACCACTGATCATGAAATACTGAACAGTGATGTTTGCATTTAACATCGAGAGCGTTTTCAGTGTGGATGTATCAATATTCGAAACACTCGGATATACCACTGAATCCGAACTTAAGAAAGCCAAAGCTCTGAATAAAATGGAAAATATTTAACAGATACTAGTCTTCTGTGCTGTCATGAGTTATTCGGATGAGAAATGAAACATCATTACCCTTCGTACTGGAAATGCATCTAAATAACTTCATATAATTCAAAATTTCTTATTTCATAATTTAGAATCTTCTAAGTATACTGATGCCAGCATTATATCGCAGGTTAACAGGATATTACTACAATAACCTGTACCCTGCCCTGTAAAAAATCTTTAAACTGACCCTACCCTCCAGGGCTCCAACTTTAAAGGGTCACTGTAAACGACCAAAGTAAAATTATCCTATAGTTGACGCTTAGCAAATATAAAACTGCAGGACGCCCTTTACGTTAGCCATTTTCTGCACAAGCACACAGCGATTCTAAACGATGAAGCACCGTATATTACACTAAATGTAAACAACCAGAGTAAACTATCGTCATCTACAGCTACCGGTAAAAACCAAAAGCAGTTATCGCTCCTTCACACGTCGAATCGCGAGTTTCTGTTTCTTCGCTGTATAAAAGACGGAACATAGACACACTCGGATCATTTGCTACGACGCCACTAATAACCCTAGGATCGCCTAGAACACGACTAGTAGTAGTGCTTTAGTCAAGGAAAGTTAACATTCTAGATTAGCAGAGTTTAAGATTACGGAAACTGTTGTGTGAGGTTATTGACCGTAGAAGTAATTATTTGGTCGATAGGGTTTTCGAGGTGGCATTACGACCGTATACGGATGGTTCGATTCATGGAAATGCTCATCGTTTGGAATTGATTTCGCCATCTTTTTCTTCGATGTATTAAACCACCGTTCTCTAGATACTGTTGAGAAATGGTGAGGGTTCTCAGTAGTCGTTTACGGATGAAATACTGTTGCATACGATCGTTTACGATTTTGCTAGCTTTATTCGGGTACCAATCGATAGGGAAATTGTTCTAATTTAAGCAGAATTGCTTTAGCCACGAAAAGTCATACATAAAAAAGAGAAGTTGAAAAGTCACTATGCATACACATTGATGACTCATTGTCCTGTCACATATATTCTATTTCACCTAGTGTGGCATATATTTCTAATGGAGAATGTGGAAATGGTCCATTTCTTTTTCCTAGAGAATTTTCTATTTCTATTGTGCAAAAACGATTTCTTGCAGAACTCCTTATAGTGAATAATATTCTTACCTATTTCCCTTTACATAAAAACCTAATTTTATAGATTTCTCGTTGTTTATTATGCATTTCTCCTAGAAAAGATGTAAATCGTTGATTATCTTCCTAGAACATTATCCATCCTGCTTTAGAGAATTCTGTTTTTCTAAATAAACGCATTTGTGCTTGGTTTTTTATGTGGTAAGGCATCTCTTCTCGACTAGGAACGATTTCTAGGTTTCGGAGGACATCGTCCCGCCCACATATGCACTTGTGTCCACGATACATAGCTGGCTCTTTGGCTATTTCTGCAGTTGTTTGTCAGTTATATGATGAATTTCATATGATTTTCAGAAATTTCCCGATTTTAATGATTTTGATGATTTTAGTGATTTGATAATCAATGCAATCAATAAAATCAGTCGGTTTTCCCCTGAATTTGATACATATCAATGGGACATTAATTAAGAGAGCATTAATGACAAGCTAATTCATGATGATTGACACATATCCACCCTGCTAAGATATACATGCATGTTCAACAATTCAAAGAATGTATATGGACAACAAAACGAGTCGACTCGAAAAAGAAAGTTTTAATCGTCGCATTCAAGCGACCTCTTACAACTAATATTTTTTTCATATCAATTTTTACATTCGACATTTTTTCCATCCATTCCAGTTATTGTGCAATAACTGTTTTTTATTCTTCGAATGCACAGAAATATGATTAAATAAACACAAAAATGTGTATTCGGTATTTTTCTCGAGGTGAATTATTAAAAAAATATATTGATAAATTTATATCTGAAAGTTTATTTTTCTCGAAAACCAAAATTTGAAAAATCGGATAACATTGTTGAAAGAGGAGATAACAAATATTTTAAATTGCAAGAAAAAGAAATTGCAGAATCATGTATATATATAGACATAGACAGATAGATTAATTTTCGTTGCTCATTGACAGCAAAGCAAGACTTTTATCGTTAAGTTTTCTAATTAGTATTTTCTTGCTTTATTGTTATAGTGGTTTTATTTAACAAATCACAACAACAATAATAGAAATTTTTTTTTATATTATTCTATGTAGTAAAATGTGTATCGAAAAACACTAAAAGACAAAAGAAATCGTTTAATCCAATTTCAAAGTAACAGTTAGCGTCTAGTCAATTTCATTGGCACGAGAGACCCTTACGTTTAATTAAATTTTTTAATAACAAAAAAATCATGTTGCTAAGGCAAGAAATAGTAATCTGAATAGACTAATATGATACAATAGGGTTTCAAACGTAGTTACACCAGAGTTCATCAATACATATTGTACGTAAAATTACAATCGATGTCTTGAATGTTCGAACAGGTTTCAGTATTGATTAATTTATTAAATATTGATTTCCTATGGATTGTGTAAGATTCTATCATATATAAGTATTCTCTTTTCTGTCTACTGTACGAAACGAAAAACAAAACTGATATCATGGTGTGTTATTACTATTTCAAAAGCTGATCTTAAAAACGGGAAAAATACAACATTTTTTGATAAGTTTCAACATGAAATTTCTTAGTTTATAATGATATTTCATATTGTTTAGATATTGTTACCGATATAACTTTTGTTCAACATCTTCTCAATTGCTTTCATCAGGAACAAAATGTGTCACATGCTGAATTAAGTATTTGTCAAGCTATTCAATTCGATTATATTATTCTTTGGAATATATCAGCTAAATTGGGTACAAATATCGAATTAGTAAAACCGGAAAGTTGTGCAAGCCCAAGAGCTATAGTTTAAATTAAATTAATGAAGAAATTGATTTTAATCATGTCAAATAGGTAAAAGAAAAAAAAATGAAGACCTTTGAGTATTGAAGACAATTACCTTTCTTTTTTTTTTTTACATAGTACTATTGCTGATACTCTTGAAAATTAGTATCTTTATGACAAATTAATGAATGAATACATGACTATGGATTGTATGGTTCATACTGGTCGAAATGCAGGAAAAAAAGGAAACGTTTATGATGATTATGTTTTCTCAAATGTTGTTTTAACAGTTGAAGAAACTGGATGATGAAATTTTATTAGGTTCATATTATTATAAAATTATAGCAGAATTAATTGCTAATGGAATGATAGTGAAATCAATTTCAATCATTTAATAAAAAGATGTTAGTACAATCTATGTGCAATTAATATACGAAACATGATGTAGTTGTTGTTGCTATTCACAGAGAGATTGCTATATACTATCTATTTTTGAACTTGTTTTTTCACAATTCTTTTACTTTAATCCTCCAGAAATGCAACGAGAAACTACTTCGTGCATTAAAATGAGATGTTATTGGTATATGATTTTTGATCATATATCAAAACATTTGTCATGGTTTCTGAAGGGAGTGGGGAGCGGGTTTTTATTTCTAGCTTTATACTTAAACACTTATTTTAGATTGTGTTTCACAAAACGTGTTCAAGAGTTTTATATGGCTTCAAAAAAAGGTTCAAATAATAAAAAGAGTCAAACATGTTTAAATATTGAAATACAAGATTTTATTGAAATTGGGAATGACATACCTGCTGATGATCTTTTACCTATATGGACACAGTACGTATTTGATGTGTAGAAACATTGTTAGTAATCAGACAAAGTTGAAAGTTCCTACAACTCACAAACCATTGTAGAATGAGAAAGAACTATTTAAGAGTCATTATTCTTAATTCTATTTAGTAGCGACAAGAAATCCGATGATGATTCTGTATTAAAAAAAACAAATGGCATCATTTAAATATTACTTTCAAGAAAACATTTCTAGCTGTGAGTTTCTGTTTTCAATCGGTTTTATGCCAGTTTGTAGAGTTCGATGAACTAATCACGGCTGCATAAAGCGCTCTTTCCCATTGAATATTTGTGAAGAGTAAAATCGATTCCAACGTTAGAAAAATGTTTCTAAACTACATCTTTAAGTATTCATCTTTGTAAGTAGTATTCCTAGAGTTTTTTTAGCAGATTTTAAAAAATGGTTCCGTTTGTTACATTCACATTATTAATGATATTGACATATTCAAAGTAAAGATGTAGCTGCGAGTCCTATTTATGTTAATTATTTGGATATGTACAGTCTATGAAGACGCATCTAGTGTTCAAGGATTGAATGCTGAGAATTAGGCTAACATAAAAAAATACTAAAATTTCCGAAATAACTGTTTACAGTCATTTTTCTGATGTTGAGATCGCCGTAAATCATTAAAGACAGTCTATGACGAAGAACGAATAATGCCATCACGATCAACTCATCGAGTTCTACAAACTGTCTTAAAGTTTATCTTAAATTTGAAGATCTTATCGTGTTAGTAAGAAGTACCATTGTCAGTGCACTATTTAAGAGACAGCAAACCTAATGTTAACCAGTTACATATGCTATGATAATCTTTCGATTTTTTTCACAATAACTATAAATAATTCCAAATCTATTCAAACTTAGAAAAAGCATTAATTCAAGTTTTCAAATTTGTTTAGAGAACAAAAGAATATGGTTCCATCAATTATCACTGATGTTGATCAAATCGAACAACCGATAAAATATATAGCCGGTTTAGATATAAGTTTCGTTAAAACAAATGATAAAGCTGTCGCATCCATGGTTATTTTTGATTATGAAACGTTAGATATCGTAGCTAAAATAAGTGTTCATTGTATTTTGAAAATTCCATATATAGCTGGTTATTTAGCATTTCGTGAAGCTCCAGTCTTTATGAAGTTAATTGATATTCAAAAACAACATTGCCCTCATTTAACACCACAAGTTATTTTAATAGATGGAAATGGTGTTTGGCATCCACGTCGTGCTGGTAGTGCTTCACATTTTGGAGTTTTAAGTGGTATTCCATGTTTTGGTGTATCGAAAAATGTTCTTTATGTTGATAGTATTACACGAGATAAAATTCACGAATTGTTAACTGAAAAAGCACCTGGAAAAGATCAATATATTGAAGTAACTGATGACAGTGGAAATGTTCTTGGTATAGCTTATAATGTAACTGGCTCTATAAAACATGCTGTTTATATTAGTGTGGGACACAAAATAACATTGAAAACAGCTTGTGATATATTCAAATCAGTGACTAAATATCGTATTTGTGAACCAATACGACAAGCTGATTTACTTAGTCGGGAAATAGTTGCTAAACTTTCTTAATTAAAACTTGTTAAAAATATTTTTCGACTAATCTAGAATTTTGTTGAACAAAATCTAATGTGTTGTGGTTTTGAAATAAAAATCTCTGTTTGATATACTAAAAATACTAACTTTAAGTACTTAATTGTTTTTCTTCTTTCATTATGAAATCTGAAAAGAGTAAGAAAACTAGGAGTCTCTTATTTACTAAACAAGTCATTGTCAGACACATCTGCCAGTTTTCTTCTTCTATAGATGTGTTTAACAAGAGATGAAACTTAGGGTGGAGGGTGTTGGTGTGATTGAAGACGAAGAGCAGATACTGATGCATACGCACACCCGAGTCGTTTATGCGCTTTGGTTCATAAGTTAGTAATGCTTTGCCAACAGGCTTGTAGTCGGGCAAATGATCTCGAAGCACACTGATATGAATTAACACATGGATATTTGACAGTAATCCTAATGTTCTATCTCTGATAGCCTATTGATAATACACAGTATATTAAGCTATGTTTTTTAACTTTTTTCATTGAGCCGACTAGTTACGGTACTACTGACCTTTAACACCAATTTATAGAAAAGCAACGTTTATTTCATTGAAATTTTTGATAAAACATAGGTTTCCGTTTTGGATTTGAGTTGTATCTTAGATTCTTACATTTGAATGCAAAAGATTTTTTTTTGAACTTTTTGGCATACTTTTTAGCTAATCTATAGCAATTCAAACAAGACTACAGCACAGCATTCGAAAAATCTACTTTTGAAATCGAGTTTCTTTTATTCCATGATTTTTATGTTTTACATTTTATAATCGCTACAATTGACTCCAGGTACAGATTCATACAAATATAACTGTCTCATAAATAGACATCATCATCATCATCATCGTTGTTATCAATGGTGATGTGAGGTGGGTTCAGTAAATAACACATACGCACACCCTCAACTATTTTAAGATGCTAACCAAGATTGATCTTCATAAGCATATAACAAAAACTTAACTTGATGTGTGAAGAACATGTTTTAAACTAGAGTGAGTGTAGACGTTTGCTTAACCCGCACACGCACCTAGATCAACACCAAGCGGAGGTAGGACAAGTGCAAGTAAAAGTATTGTACTTGCATTTATACTTACGTACAAAGAGAATATTTAGTATTTTTTAGGAGTGTCGCTTAAAAATTAGTATTAGTATTTTTTTCTAATCCTAATACCGACGTTTTTGAGGCTACTGAAACGTGCAACTTGTAACATTTCAGGTTCTAGATATAGATGCTGTGAATTGTTTGACAGGTTTTATCTGTAGCGTGACACCTCTAGTACATAGTATATGGGTGTTAATACTTAAGTAAAAGTACCAAAACACTTACTAACAGATACACACTTGCTTCCACAACGCTCTAGTAGTAAATTAACAGATCGATTGCTAGAAGTTTAAAACAGCTGCTTCAAAGTAGATCGATGATCAGAACCTGATGAGGTATGTCTAAAGTAAATGCGGACTAATTGTTGGTGAATTACCTTACGAAATAACTCAAGGAACCAAAGAAACAGTCGAAATTTAACTCATGTTTCATACATATTTTTTTTTATCGAATAAAAACTTGGTACGAAGTAGAAAGCAAAGATGATCATCTTAAAATCTTAACTATGGCGTAAAAAGCAGCTTGCTTAGACGCAGCAAATCAACAATCTGGCTCATCTATAACACTTGCTCAAATGCTGACATTTTTTCGAAAGTACTGACAGAAATTGTTTAGCATTTATCACATCCTCAAAATAAAAAAAGAATTTGGTAAACTTGTTGCATATCATACAATCAGTGATAAAGCAATAGCACCAATTGAATTCCTCCGCATGAATCTTCCGACACGTTTACAAACATTAACAGGAGATTTTATAACAGTAAATGCACGTAATGCGAAAGTAACCAAAGAGGTCTCACGGACTCAGTTCAGAAGATTTAAAAACGTTTTCTCTGCTTAGCAATATTGAATGCTTGAAAGATTTTATTATTTATTATTTGAAAAAAAAACCGAAAGATGCATTAAATTATATTTATTCTCTGTCAATGTTCCTGTTTATGAAATCCTATTTAAGTCAGCTAATATTCTTTTCATCATTGATGCTTTTTTTGATGAATTTATTATTAAATATAAACGACAATGTTCATCTCAATGATGATTGGTTTTTCATTATTTATCTTAACGGTTTTCTGTGAGGTTTTTATCGAATGCAGATGCTAGCTCTTTTGTTACTGAGAACTATATTAGTTTTTAATATTAGTATTAACTACTTCTTTTGTGAGCTTGAGAATAGTGATTTATTGTTGTTATATTCTGAGATTAAACAATTTTCAAAAGCCTGAACTTAACAAATATTAACGACAGCTCGTTGGACTCCAATTGCAGAATAAAAATGAATAGGTATTTATGTTTTGATACATAAAATGTATTTTGAGCATAATAAATAGTATTTGTATGCGTGTTGCAATGCCATGTGCAAATAAAAACTCCTTATGATTTATAAGCATGGAAAGAAAAGAGACGAGATTGAAATGATACTCTTGAAATAAGCAAATATTAAGTCACAAACGAAACAAGAAAATAAAACGCTACACAAAGAACGAACAGTCCAAGCAAATATAAAAAGAAAGAAAAAAAATTGAGTAACTTTTTTCTCTGGTGATTTGTTTTTTTGTTATTAGAAATAAACTTTCCATTACGATTGTATTACAAATAAATGAATCAGAACAGATTTTTTTCATATGAATGCTAATGTATCCAATGGTGATAACTAAATATCACTCAAACTATTTTCTCAATAAGATTATTGGATAAAATTGCCAAGGATTGATGTGTTTTTAAAAGACTCAACATTTAATTATTTGAAAAACATGCACAAATATTCTTCAGCTAGGTTAAACTGAGATTAATATTTTGTTTGTATTACTCATTATGAGGAGATATCTAATTCTAATTCTAATTTTCAGCGTTTTATAAGCAAGGAATCAAGCAAGGAGAACATAAAGTTCATAGAAAACTATTTTGATCACCTTTACATAAATTAAAATTTCTAATTTAGATAAAATTCTAAATTGACTCTTTGGTTAGTGTACTGCTGATTCGAATATGTTTTTTTTTCATTTATTTTCTAAATAGCATTTGTCTTCACGAGCGTCATTTCGATTCGAACTCGAATTAGACAACTCATGTCCGTTATTGTTTCAATTATAATTTGTGTGAAGTCAGAAATAAGTTTAACGCTATTTTTTATATGACACGTACAAAGATAAATTCCAAGTGATAAAGAACTAATTTGTTGATTTTCATTGATTTCTCATATAAACAAGTTAGCGTTTCCAACATATTGTGAAGTTATTCCACTTGGAGTGTGGGTTTCCTAGTTGTGAAGACCCACATCTACACCCACACACAAAACTTGATCTAGGCAATTTCTGTGGATTGGTTTTGTAATGTTCAACAGCTGAAAGGATTTATTTCGAACTTTGGTCGTTGAAGTTGCTCAGCATCAAAACTATAGGAAATATTGCCCATTTTTATGAAAAGCAGATTTTTCACGACGACTAAAATTCTGTACTAGGAAAAGAAACGTGATCTGTTGGTTAAATCTCGAGCACTCCTAATGCCTGATATAACCTGTTTCTTTACACTTCTCGTCATGCGTCATCAAGAGATGTATGATACACGACATTAATTGACAACATAAAATGATAGAATCAAACAAGACGAACTCCTAAGCATAAGAAAAATCTCTTGACTGAATCCGTTATTTATTACGATTTTTTCGAAATGTTCAAGAGTTGCGAACATTGATTTTCAG